GTAATGTAATGTAATGTAATGTAATGTATGTTATGTAATGTATGTATGTATGTATGTATGTATGTATGTATGTATGTATGTATGTATCTGTGTAAGTAATGTATGTATGTATGTATGTATGTATGTATGTATGTATGTATGTATGTATGTATGTATGTATGTATGTATGTGTGTGTGTATGTGTGTGTGTGTATGTATGTATGTATGTATGTATGTATGTATGTATGTATGTATGTATGTATGTATGTAGGTATGTATGTATGTAATGTATGTATGTATGTATGTATGTATGTATGTATGTATGTATGTATGTATGTATGTATGTATGTAATGTATGTATGTATGTAATGTAATGTAATGTAATGTAATGTAATGTAATGTAATGTAATGCAATGCAATGTAATGTAATGTAATGTAATGTAATGTAATGTAATGTAATGTAATGTAATGTGATGTAATGTAATGTATGTATGTATGTTCTGTATGTATGTAATGTAATGTAACGTATGTCTGTATGTATGTATGTATTTATGTATGTAATGTATGTATGTATGTATGTATGTATGTATGTATGTATGTATGTATTGCAATGTATTGCAATTTTATGTATGTATGTAATGTATGTATGTATGTATGTATGTAATGTATGTATGTATGTAAGTACGTATGTATGTATGTATGTAATGTATGTAATGTATGTAATGTGTGTAATGTACGTAATGTATGTAATGTATGTAATGTATGTAATGTATGTAATGTATGTAATGTATGTAATGTAATGTATGTATGTATGTATGTATGTATGTATGTATGTATGTGTGTAATGTAATGTAATGTATGTATGTATGTATGTATGTATGTGTGTGTATGTATGTATGTATGTATGTATGTAATGTATGTATGTATGTATGTATGTAATGTAATGCAATGTAATGTAATGTAATGTAATGTAATGTAATGTACTGTAATGTATGTATGTATGTATGCGATGGAATGCAATGTAATGTAATGTAATGTATGTATGTATGTATGTATGTATGTATGTGTGTATGTAATGTATGTATGTATGTATGTATGTATGTATGTATGTAATGTATGTATGTATGTATGTATGTTTGTAATGTATGTATGTATGTATGTATGTATGTATGTATGTATGTATGTAATGTATGTAATGTATGTTTGTATGTATGTACGTATGTATGTATGTATGTATGTATGTATGTATGTAATGTATGTATGTATGTATGTAATGTATGTAATGTCATGTATGTATGTATGTATGTATGTATGTATGTATGTATGTATGTATGTATGTATGTATGTATGTATGTATGTATGTATGTATGTATGTATGTATGTATGTAATGTATGTATGTATGTATGTATGTATGTATGTATGTATGTATGTAATGTAATGTATGTATGTAATGTATGTAATGTATGTATGTATGTATGCATGCATGTATGTATGTATGTATGTAATGTAATGTAATGTAATGTAATGTAATGTAATGTAATGTAATGTAATGTAATGTAATGTAATGTATGTATGTATGTATGTTATGTATGTATGTAATGTAATGTAATGTATGTATGTATGTAATGTAATGTAATGTATGTATGTAATGTAATGTAATGTAATGTAGTGTAGTGTAGTGTAGTGTAATGTAATTTGATGTAATGTAATGTACGTATGAATGTAATGTAATGTAATGTGTTGTCTCGCAATGTAATGCGATGTAATGTACTGTATTGCAATGCAATGTAATGTTTTTTATTGTATTGTAATGTGATGTACCGTACTGTAACCTGATGTGTGTATGTATGTATGTATGTATGTATGTATGTATGTATGTATGTATGTATGTATGTATGTATGTATGTAATGTATGTATGTATGTATGTATGTATGTATGTATGTATGTATGTATGTATGTATGTATGTATATAATGTATGTAATGTATGTAATGTGTGTAATGTATGTAACGTATGTAATGTATGTATGTAGGTATGTATGTATGTATGTATGTATGTATGAATGTATGTATGTATGTATGTACGTAATGTATGTATGTATGTATGTATGCATGCATGTATGTAATGTATGTATGTATGTATGCATGTACGTATGTATGTATGTACGGACGTAGGTATGTGTTCATGTAATGTATGTATGTATGTAATGTAATGTAATGTCACGTCATGTAATGTCATGTTATGTAATGTAATGTACTTATGTATGTATGTAATGTAATGCAATGTAATGTATTGTGTTGTAATGTATGTATGTATGTATGTAATTTCAATTTCATGTCATGTCATGTAATGTCATGCCATGTAATGTCATGCCATGCAAAGTCATGCCACGTAAGGTCATGTCACGTAATGTTATGTATGTAATGTAATGTAATGTACTGTAATGTCATGTAATGTAATGTAAGTAGTGTAACGTACTGTATTCAATTGTATTGTATGTAGTAGAATGTAATGTAATGTAATGTATGTATGTATGTATGTATGTATGTATGTATGTATGTATGTACGTATGTATGTATGTATGTATGTTTGTATGTATGTATGTATGATGTATGTATGCATGCATGCATGCATGCATGTATGTATGTATGTAATGTATGTATGTATGTATGTATGTATGTATGTATGTATGTATGTATGTATGTATGTATGTATGTATGTATGTATGTATGTATGTATGTATGTATGTATGTATGTATGTATGTATGTATGTATGTATGTGTATGTATGTATGTATGTATGTATGTATGTATGTATGTATGTATGTATGTATGTATGTATGTATGTATGTATGTATGTATGTATGTATGTATGTATGTATGTATGTATGTATGTATGTATGTATGTATGTATGTATGTATGTATGTAATGTATGTATGTATGTATGTATGTATGTATGTATGTATGTATGTATGTATGTATGTATGTATGTATGTATGTATGTATGTATGTATGTATGTATGTATGTATGTATGTATGTATGTATGTATGTATGTATGTATGTATGTATGTATGTATGTATGTATGTATGTATGTATGTATGTATGTAATGTATGTATGTATGTATGTATGTATGTATGTATGTATGTATGTATGTATGTATGTATGTATGTATGTAATGTATGTATGTATGTATGTATGTAATGTAATGTAATGTAATGTATGTAATGTAATGTAATGTAATGTAATGTAATGTAATGTAATGTATGTCATGTAATGTATGTATGTAATGTAATGTAATGTAATGTAATGTAATGTAATGTAATGTAATGTAATGTAATGTAATGTAATGCAATGTAATGTAATGTAATGTAATGTAATGTAATGTAATGTATGTAATGTATGTAATGTAATGTATGTATGTATGTATGTATGTAATGTAATGTAATGTACTGTAATGTAATGTAATGTAATGTAATGTCAGGTCATGTAATGTAATGTGATGTAATGTAATGTAATGTATGCAATGTAATGTAATGTAATGTAATGTAATGTAATGTAATGTAATGTAATGTAATGTTACGTTACGTTATGCTATGTTATGTATGTATGTATGTATGTATGTATGTATGTATGTATGTATGTATACACGCATGTGGCCATTGTCAAACGACATGGTTCGCGCTTGCATGAGGACATCTTCTTCCCATATGACTTCTGCGCGCACAAGTATCTAAACTTTAAGCATTGTACACAAGGAGGCTTGACCGTGGTGGCTCTTGCTCCAGCGATGGCATTGGACATGCCCCCTGTTTGAAGCTTACATTCAAGGTTTCAGGACCCCTTTGTGAAGACTGCCCCCCCCTCCCCCCCGCTTGGCCGCGGAGAAGGGGAGGGTTGAATGCCAAAGTGCGCTGAGGTCTTCGGGCGACATCTCTTCGGCCGAATGCGTGTGGTTTCGGTGCGCCCACGGCAAGAAGCCCGCAGCCTGCCGGCCTTCTTTTGGTCCCATGAGGATTGAGTGGAGCGTCAGGTTAGCAGGTCCAATGGTCAGTTTGCTCAGCAACGAAACGGTTTCATGTTGCTTTGAGCGAGTCATTCAGGAGGTGCCGGAATGTCATGACATCAGCTCTAGGATGCCTGATGTTTGAATCGAGTTAGACACAACACTGACTCTTGTTTGTGTGATTGTTGCAGCACATCCGTTCGACCACATCACAGTGCTTGGACGCTTAGACAAAAACACCCAACGCGTGTTGGTCTTTTTTGAGCCGTTCTTCCCACAATGTTGTGAATATCCGTACAATACATCGCATTTTGTTCTAGAGTGAATTGCCTGGATGCACCAGTGCTGAGCTTCAGGAGTACGGCTTCACTCGTATTGCCAATGTTCCAGCTGCCAACAACCGGATCCCAAGTGGTCGGAATGGCTGCCAAGTTGTTAGCCGTTCAAACCCTGCCGTTTGGTAGCAGGATTCCCACTTGGGGGTCTTGACACTCTTCAGATGATTAGGAGGCCACCCCAATTTTTTCTTCAGCTGCTTGCTGTGAATGAGGAGCAAACGTGAAATGAACCAGGCAGCCATGATCTGACTGGCGCATGAAAGGAGATGGCTTGTTACAGCTGAATAGCCCCATGACAAGTGGAATCTTGCGGTGTAATACTTTGCAATAGGGATGTTTTGCACTGGGGGATCATCGAGGCTGTCGCGCCCCCTTGGCGGATACTAACCTTCATAAGCGCGGGCGTCTGCATGACATGGGTTCCAAACTAATGAGCCAATCGCTTCGCACGAAGCTGCTTACCGGGCTCAAGCCTAGCTAGTGATCTGGATGCCGACGGTGTTTGTGTTTTTGCCCCACAGGCACAGGTTGACCTCGCAGATTATTGATTCGACTGCTCCAAAGAGCGTCAAGTCACACCTCGCCTCAGCCCCCCCCCCTCCGGCAGCCCTGCCATCCCCCCCAAAAATCCGCGGCGCCTTGATTTGGCCGCGGTTTGCCGCGCGCGTGTGTGCGAATGGCGCGACTCAGGCGTGGGCCGTGAGGGTCACGCCGCCTACATCATCAGAACTCGGTTGCAAGGTACTTGAAAACCAAATTCACCATGCGCATGAGACACCGCTATTACATATATATATATATGTATATATATATATATATATTTGTATGTAACACATACAATTATTTAACAAATTATATACATATTTAGCCAGACAGAAGTTGCGCTTCTTGAGGCTCAAAACGATTCCAGTGCTTCCCCGCTTCGAATTCTGCATGCTGAGACCGAGTCAGGAGTGCGCGGCCAATTCCGCAAAGCCTGTGAGTTAAAAGGGAGTGAGAATTGACCGTCCCGCACTTGCCACATGGGCATAGCGTCGTTCGAGAAAAGGCAAGCATATTCTTTTTGGTGGCTGGTGTAATTGTTAGTCAAGGTGAAGGCATGATACCAGCGCAAATGCATGTTGTTCGGGGAGGATTTGCAGAACATGTGATGTTGCTCATTTGCCGACACTTGCATCCGAAAGCAAATTCTATTTTCCGAGGGCGTCCCAGCCTTCAGGGGGAGGGATGCCTTTTTGCGAGGATACCTGCAAGTTCCTTCTGCGCAGTGTGCAGATTTCCGGCTGTGACCCCCAGGGCCCGCAGCTTTTGCGGATGAAAGGAGGTCCATCGCTCAGGTAGGGCAACATTTTGGCAGCGCAAGCAAGATATATGCCACATTTGATTCCTTGATTCTGGCCCCCAGTGCCCAACCTGTGATAGTTTTGCCGAAGGAAAGCCAAGTGATAGCAAACGGGAGAACTTCTCGCTACAGAAACGCAGACAGGTGTTCCTGGAAGTAGGGGCCCGCTAAAATAGTTAGTTTCATTGCTTGGTTTCCCTTGAAACACGAACCTAACGTCTGACTGAAGGCACGCAATTAATTTTGTGATTTGGGTGAGCATTGTCTCATGGAACAGAAGTCCTGGATTCTCCCTCCGACAATTTGTTAAAGTACCTTTTGTGTCAATCCTTGGGTCCAGGGAACCTGTAGGGATCCTTGGGGGGAAGGCTCTGAGCCAGACTGCCCCGGTTGCCTCGAAACAAAAACCAGAAGGAGGTTGTTCAAACATAGGGGTGTGAACATGATTATTGGTTTAGGTTCTAAGAGATTCCGAAAAGCTAGACTACGGCAAGAAAAACACTGTGGTAATTTGGTACTCGAACAAACAAACGCCTCACACTGCAGTCCACGTACTGTGATGGGCAACAGTTTGCTCATATGATCATGACATAATTCAGAAAAGTACCCCGCAATTCCATTCTGCTTTAACTTATTTCGACCATCATACACAAAGGGTTGAGCCCACCCCCGGTCAGCAACTATTGCGGAACCTATGCGGAGCGTTCTTCATGTGCCAGGTCCATCGTCTTCAGGCAAGGCACATGGTTCGGTGTACCACTTTCCGTTGGGACAGTCTGTGGTTACGCGGGTTGGGGCGGGGGCTGCAACCAAACTGGTCGGTATTTGAGTGCTCACCTTTAACCTATCACTTGGTTTTTTGGATGGTGAAATAGTGCAGCAACTAGTCAAAGGGCACTGCTCCCACTCAGGCCCCTTTTCAAGTGCACTTTGATTCTTTATGGGGCTTGCAAAGAATCCAACCGCGCATGTGCAAAAACCAGGATCCACGCCAACGGCTCTCCCGGAGATATGCAACCCCAGAGTATGCTTGGGACGCTATGTGGTGAACCTCAGAGTTTGTATCGTGAAATAAACTGGGGATGGTGAAACATGAATGAGCTCTATTCGGGACCATTGCGACGCGATTTTGTGCATCCTTTAAAGAGGGTCGGGGCCAAAGATGGTTCTCTCTTTTTGGTTCTCATGTTTATCACAAAAGGACACGAGACAAGCCATGAAGCACAGAGAGGCAGAAGCGTGTCCCACGCGCTTTGCGCGTTCGCAAAATGAGGCACTTCTCGCGAGGCTTACCGAAGACCTGCCAGCCCTTTTTGTTTTTGTTTTTGTTTTTTGCCCAAAAAGACTTTTTGGGTCCCCTTTGACTCAAATCCATGTACACGGACACCAAAATACGGCAAGGGGAGGCAAAGGAGATGGACCAAGACGTTGCCAGGTACCTACTGCTCCTCAGCGGGATACCCAGCTGGCGAACACGCGTGAGCTTGATCTGTCAGAAGAGAGGGGGACCCCAAGAAAAGTGGCTTGCATACATATTATAATATGTTCTTTTCAAACCAAGTTGAACAGTGGACAAGTGTACTCTGAAGAAACACACAAAAACACCCCTGTTCTGTGTGTGGTTTCTATGGCTCTCTTAAATGGCATCACATCGGGACAATTGGTCAGAATTAATGTGTATTGATTCACATCGTGGGGGCATCATTTAAGGTTTTGCGTTCACATGCATACATGGTGCTTCCTTTTCTCAGCATCTCGGCCATGGGCACAAGGGCATCGTGTTTATGCTTAGGCTCGCCCCTTCTGTGTTTTGCTCGCCCTCATGTGTTGCGCCCCTTAGGCAGGCAAGCTTCGCGGCAAGTCATCACTGAAAATCATTGTGACCCATGGGTTTTGACGAATGGCTTCCTTTCGGACGCACACATTGTCCTTCGGCGCAAGCGATCTAATGAGTTTCTTGGTAAACGGAGCCCCTGAACTGTTGCTTAGTTTACCATGTTGCAGGGGGGAGGTGGTTGTGTCAACATATGTCCCCTGAGGTCGAAGGTTGGACACGGCCCCCAACACAATCTTTATCAGCTGATCGGATCCCCGTGTAAAGCAGGTGGTTTTTGGATGATCCTCCAAGAGACCCTGGGATTCATAGAGCTCTTGGCCCCAGGTGTCATCTCCGCAGCACAAGAAGATGGCGATGGCGACGGCGACGGCAGCGTCGAGCTGGGGCTGGGGTGCTCAGCTGAGGGCGACCGATCGGGCGTGGCCCCAACTCAGAGTAGCGCCTGCCATGTTAGTACTGGTCGTAGGTGTGAAACCTAATTTACACCTTTGTAAGCATGTTAGAGCTGAGGACAGAGTGGCAATATGTATTGACACAGGAAATGTGAAGTAGGCGGGGCCGCGATGCATTGATTGGACAATTGCCTAAGCGGCGGCCAATCAATATTGTTTCACTGGCATCAAAGGTCTACCGTATCTCATGCAGCAACCTCGAAAAAGGTTGGAATCAATCTTCAGCTCTCTATCCCTGCGTTACAAGCTACCAGCCGCCATTGTATCTCCGGCCTCCAGCCTGGTGTTGAGGCCAACTGTAGTTCCAGACAGCTGACCTTGGTTTCCTACTAAAATTGTGCAACAAAGCGCCTTGTGACACACAGCCTTTAGGCTGGCCAGGTTGGTATTTCGTCAGCCGGCGCATTGCCTTGGCCGCCTGACGTTGGGCAGTGCTTCGGGAAATGACGGCACCATGTCATTCCCCAAGCAATCGGCTTGAAGGGGCACTGATTATGCGACAGTGCACATGTTATATTGCTATTCAAGTGTGCCTGCGTGGGTGGGTGCCTGGGTGTGTTGTTTGAAGTTTCAATAGGATTGCGTTGAAGGGATACCAACAGCGCGCGCTCGCCTCCCCGCCCATGTCTGTCTCCCCCATTCTAAGACACACTGAGGCCGCGACTGCCAGGTGACGCCGGAGACTCGAATGCTTCGCCGCAACAGCGAAAAGAGCTGAGAACTGTGTGGTTTCATCACTGGTTTCCTTGTAGGATTTCAGAACAAATACATGGCCATTTAGCAGAAACCACAGTTATCAGGACATTTATGAAATTCACTTGTAGAGCAGCTTGTTTTTGGATGTATTCTTTAAGACACCCTGTTGGACCCGCTTTGGGGCAACTCAGAATGCTGTTAGTATGCCGAGTTGTGGAATGAGAACTGTCAAATCGGATGCAAAAGAGCTTGGAGGCGCAATCTTTGGGTTGTGCATTTGGATGTGGTGTCTCTAAGAATCTGTTGGACCCCTTTGGGGACCTTTTTTTGACACCCCAAATGGATTTGATTTTCCTTTTGATTTCTCTTTCAAGCAACCTCAAAAAGGGTATCAACTCACACATTCACACCCTTTTTCCTTTTTGGTCAATCACCTTTTGGAAGTAATTGGTAAAGCTTGGAACCTGGGTGAGCATCCCCGCGCCCGTTGCCCGCTCAGTCCGAATACTGGCTGCGGCTGCGGAGCTTATCCTTTAGCGAGGCGCAGTGGAGAGGTCTGTCTGAAGCAAACTCAGTGATCCTTATTTCCGGCCCTGGAATGGTTGTACAGTCTGCAGAACATGTGTTTGAACACACACACACACATCAGGGCAACCCTTCGAAGAACCTGACGGGGTTGTTTAAAGAATTGGTGTTTAAACGTGTTTGAACACGGGGGGGGGCGGGCAACCCTGCGTTTGAGCGGGTTTTGCGTGAACTAGGTTGCACTGATTTCAGTTTTGCTCCAATTATCCACCAGTGCCGTCATATGTGTTTCCTAAAGGACACCTGCTGTGGAAGGACAAACTCCTGCACCAGTTGAACCTCTATGAATTTTGGGAGAGATCACCCAAATCATACAAGACATGTTTTGTGTATTCATAGTAGGTTTGCGTTTTTGGCTTTCAGTGGATTGGTGTGCTTTTTGCTTCCTGTTGGTCTCCGTGTTGGCTTTCCCCTAGACATCCCCTCTTTGGGGACGCAGTTTTGGTCCACAGGGCCATGCATTTGCCAGGGCAAGCTGGAGCCCCAGTTCGATGGCAAGGGCCACGACTTCACGCTGACCATCGAAAACCCTGAAGTCAAGAGCCGCGGGGGTTTGGGGGAGGGGAGGGTTCCATTCTTGGCTCAGAAGACTCAAACCCAGGGGTTCTCCACGGGAAATCAAACTCTGGTTTGAGTCTGCCTTGGGAATAACAAATGGAACCCTGGTGGGGAGTGCCTCAGTGCGAGGCGGGAAGCAAGATTTCTTAGAAGTCAGAAGGGAAAGCGGATGCAGGAACATCCACCAATCCAAAGAGCGAGTGACCAGGCATATGTCTACAGCAAGGTGACAAACAGTTTCACTGTTTAGCTTTGTGTCACGTGCGATTCCTACTTCTGTCCGGTAACATGTTCGAGCTAGAATGTGAGAAAGCATTGACACATTGTAGAATGGTGGAGAGTTTACAAAATGAACCAGCACAAGAAGGCGGTCTTCTATGAATCGCTTGAGGCGATTCGCGCCTTCTACTCGTAAGCGTGTGCTTGATTCAACCAAGCGCCTCAGCAAAACAATCGAGTTGCCAGTCTTGAGAAGAGACAATCGCTAAAGTCTTCGGGAACCAATCGTTCACATGCTTGCCATGTGGGGAGCTTGATGTGTTGCAACTTGGCATGAGTTGATTCGGATGGATACAAGATACATTCATGGCTCGGGTTTGCGCTTGGGTTTTGCGGCCTGCCTTTTAGGCTGTCTTGGGGAGCTTTGGGATGGACAGTTGAGAGTATGATAGGCCGCGCACAGGTGCTGACTCGGATATGCCGAGCCTGACTAAAAAAGTACGCCTTTGCTGGCCATTCTAGTGCGTTCTAGCCGGGATTCTGTTCCTGGCCATTGTAGCTATGGCAATCATCTCCGAAACATGCAGCTGCACATGATGCGCATCTTGACATACCGGCCCCGGAATTTAGGATGCATTGCCGTCATATTCTCGGCTTATAGCTCATGCTGTTTGGATGGCAAGACCGCTCTGCGAGCGTTGCAGCCGCGGGAGCCCTGAGTATCCTAGCCAGGGAGGCCGGCTCTGTGGGCTGTGCAGGGCGGTCTTCTTATTGTGATCCCCGCGTGACCCCGGACCTCCTGTTCCACGTGGAGTACGCGGTCAAGCGTGCGGTCGGGGAGGTCGCGCTCATCTTGGGACCCCTCCCCGAAGGGCGCGTCTCGACCGGCAGCGAAGGCCGCGAATAAGCCTGTGGTTTTGAGGAGGCCATGGAAGACTGTGTGTGGTTGGCGTTGGAGACACAGTCATGGGAAGGTCGAACATATCAATAGGTTGGAGTTACGGGCTCTCTTTACGGCCATCAAGTGGAGGATTCAAAAGCAGCAGCGCTTGCGATCCCGTTTCTTACACCTCACGGACAGAATGGTGTCACTGTTGGTTGCCAACATGGGTAGATCTTCATCCCGCAAGCTGGTTCTTCAACAGAATGTGTGCCCAGCTTCTCGCTTCCGGCAATGTTTGCTTGCTCGGTCCGTCGCAACGGCCGGTGAAAAGGCGATGGTTAAAGCGCAGGCAGTCGACGGAAGTAGCCGAGCGGAACGCAAACAGGGAAGGAAGCAATTAGGCACACTGATGTATCTGGCAGTGAAGCCTGCCACTCTGAAGCGGCACAGGGGAGCTACTAGAGAGTTTTTGAGTATCTCAGGTACAAGCAGCAACAACTGCCTTAAACAAAGGCGGCTTTTGACACGCAATTGAGCAACTACATTGCTTTGGGAGGAAGGTGATTGTAGATACAAGGCCAATGACACAGTATGCGGTCTTCAACATGCACAAGCCAATTTGCGGAAGTCGCTTCCAATCTTTTGGAGGTTGCTGAAAACTTGGAGCCAGCATGAGCTCCCCTCGCAGGCCCAGCCTTTTACTCCGCTCACCCTGAGTGTTGTATGTGGATTTCTGCAAAAGACCCGCCCACAACTAGCGCTGGCTTTGGCATTGGCGGTGGGTTTTTCAGCGCTACTACGCACTGGGGAACTGCTACGTCTGCAAGCTAAACATGTGCATGTGGCGAGAGCTCTTCGGTTGTTTCGCATCTTGGAGACACAAAGTCTTATCGCAACGCGGGTGCTGATGCCACTACCCTTGACAGCCTGGAGGTTTCTATACTGACGATTATTTGGTCGATGTGTCCCCGCACATTTTCAGGGCAAAATTCCAGGAAGGCAAGACCTCCTGCACTCGCTTGAACCCTCGCGTATGCGGAAGTTGGGGCGATGTGGAAGGGTTCATGGTTGATGGTGGTTTGGTCTGGCGTTGGTTGTCTTTGTCTTTTTGGTGGTGTTGTGTGCTGGCGTTTTCTGTATGACCATGGATCCCATGATCGCGATCAGGGAGGAAAGTTGCCAGTAACCTGGACCCAGAATGGAGATGGCTACGTCTCGGATGAGACTCTCTCTTCGGTTTTTTGTACAAACTTTCTTGTTTGCGGTGGAAATAGAAGGCCTTGCATCCTAGATGTAGGAATCCGTGTGCGTGTTTGTTTGTTTGTGCCTGCGGGTTTGTGTGTGTGTGGGTGCGCGCGCACGGGTGCGTGCGTGCGTGCGTGCGTGCGTGCGTGCGTGCGTGCGGGTTTGTAGATGTGGGTAGGTCTTCTGTTATTTTTTGCTCCCAGCAAGTTGGGGCCACGTACAAAACTGGAACCGTGCTTTGACGGCCAGGAGCTTCATCATCACTGTAGGCCAGGGGCTGAGCATGCAGGAAATCAGCACGAGTATGTGTCAAAACTAGAGGGTAGTTTCCTTTTCAAGCCGACCCCAAGTTTATCCATAGGCAACTGTAGTCTAGAAATCGTTCTGGCGTCTCACCTGTGGAGCCCACCTACTGTAGTGAGACGGGGATCGCCGGCAGTTCTAAAAGGAAACCGGCATCAGACTTATGGCTGACATTCTGGACTCTGGAGTTTTCCCGCCAATCTGTGCAGAACTGGACCTCAAGTACTACGATCTACTGGCTCTACCAAGGATTGAGGCGCGGGGTGAGCCGCCGTCTGGGGCACGGCCGCGCGGAACAGCAGCAGTAGCCTTTGCAGCTGAAACGTCCATAGGAGTCCAATATGGCTAGTACGTAAAGTGCCTGGGTGCGGAAAGATCCTACTGTTGACGGAAGAAATCCTGCAGCACCTAAATGAGAACGTTCTTGTCGCGCCTCGCGCTCCCCCAACTTAACAGTCGTTGTGCCAAAGGTACACACACGCCGAACCGCAATGAACAAAAACTGTACACCACTTTCATGCAACCCTGTTCAGGGCTTCGCGCCCTATGACCTTCATGTAGGTCGCACCCTGCAGTGCAGGATCTCTTCCGTCCACCGAACAAAGATAGTCGGTTTTCACAATTATGCCTTTGAACTTAAAGCTTGGACTTGCCCAGTCAGTGGCGTTGGCAAGCCCAATTCCAGCACTCAGCCAATTTTACAGTTAACGCTCAGTCAACGCCCAATCAACGGTACAGTCAACGCTACGAAAATGCTAGCACGGACGTTCGGAGAAATTCCATCGTTTTAGGAGTTTTAAAGGTTTCCAGGAACATTTGCCAGTCAGGTCTTCGCCGCACCATTGGGATTTCTTGTGTCCCCTGCAGCAGATTGAGCAGGGGGTCTCGTCAACAAGATGAACGCTGAATATCGCTGCTCCGCGCTTGAGTGATCCCGAAAGCAAGCCAGTGGCCAGCACCAGCTAAGATGCGGCCTTCTCTTTTTTGGGTTCCCCCCCCCCTGTTGCAGTTTGATGTTTTTGCCTCAGAGCCACTCTTGACTTGTGCGGCCATGAATGCCCACCCCATCAAGAATTGGGGAAGGGGGGTCGCCCGGAATGTGCTTTACTCCGTTCTCCTTTTTGGGAAGGCTAGACAAACAGAACCGCAATTATTTGTCTCCCCCATGCAAGGCAGCTTTTGGCTCCCTTATCGGTAGTGAGCGCCAGGTGGACGGGAAGGTGATTGAAGTCAGCCCGTTGAACACCATCGTGGTGCCGGCGCCAACCTTACAGACCCATCCGGAAAAGCCAATCCGTGAGGGCTCATTGCTGACTGCACTTTGATTGCTTTCGAGTATTGGTGAGCGTTTTCGCCACGGGATAAAATGAGGAGATTGTTTGTGTTTCATCCTCCATGTTTTCCCTCTTCGCCCTGGTGGTGAGAACGCCCTGGTGAATGAAGCACCTCTGCCCCACTTGACGCACAGGCGGAGCGAGGCGGAATGAACTGCTCGGCCGGCCCGAGGTACTGATGAACTCGTCCATCGGGCCCGAGGACAAGATCGTGTCTATCAAGTTGATGGACCCCTCAGGCTTGGCCCTTGGCCCGGAAGAGCCGGCAGTGTGCCGCGGAAAGGCCCTTGGATTTCGCCCGGAGAATGACCGATGGAGTCCTTGGAATAAAAAAAGGGGGATGCGACAGATTTGGATTGTTGTTTGTTTCCTGCTTGCAACATTTGAATCCACAAGGCCAGAGTTCTATCTCGGCAAGGAAAACCAAAAGGAAACTAGCAACTTCAGGGCACCCTATTTTGGGAAACACCCCTGTAGCGAGGACATGAGGTGTGCGTCTGCAAGTCTTCCCGTTTGGCATGACTTGGGTTTACTTGGATAGAACTATCACAAGTTGGCCATGGGGGGCAAGAACCATCATGTTGCCCTACCTGAGGGATGGGCCTCCTTGCATTGGTAAAAGCTGGCAGCTGGAAAGCAGTCCGATTTCCTTAGGGGCAGGTCAGAGGCTACCTAGCCTTCAAGCGTTGATGGGCACAGCAACACAGCCACGAGATAATGTCACTGAGGACCATACCAATCCTAGCAATCAGTGGTGGTTCATGTCTTAGTGGGCCATGGTTCTTGTTGGGGAATTCTGTTGATGTGTATGGTCTTCCTGGTAGATCTGAAGTTCGCGTTAGATTTTGGTTGATCTGGTCCAGCAAAGCCGCATGATATCACACACTTAGATGGAGATTCCTCACAACTTTCCAAGCCAGCGCAGTCAGACCGAAAGGAATTAACTCAGCTCAACAGCTCAAGTGGAAGTCTGAATCCTTTTCAGCTTCCCCTGCATTTTTTTGGTCCTTTGGGATCCATCACTCTCATGTAAAGAATAATTCTTGCTTCATCAGGAAAGCGGCACGCTGCGAACGTCCACGCACCCTCGTATGAAAGCAGGCCATCGTGAAAGCACCCTCTGATGAAAGCACCCTCTTATGAAAGCACCCTCTTATGAAAGCACCCTCTTCTGAAAGCACCCTCTTATGAAAGCAGGGCTTAAAGGCTGTCAAATCCCTCCTCTAGGTGCAGCATTCGGTAGTATCCCCATTCTTTTCAGGGAAACGGCTGATTTTGAAAGCCACGGGGAATCAATCCAATAAGTCACCCAGGCACACCTTGAAGCTTTTACAGAGGCAAACGATGTTCCACTGCAAGTGAATATCACCGGTTGTGAACACCCATTGGGAAAGGACATCAATTTCTAAATCAACATGTCCACTGGTCCATGCTTTGCTTTGAAAATTACATTCTCCCCACGAGTTCCCTCCTACACGGTAGGATTTCCCGTATCGCCACGAGTTTCAGCCATGTAGCCCTTGGCAACCACCAGTTGGGTTCTATTTGTTGGGGCGATCTCCGCAGGCAAGGGCTTCGGTGGCTTCCTGGGCTTCGGGGCCAAGCCACGGGCGCGCTTTCGCTCGAGGGTTGGGATGGAGAGTCGATGCCTTGATTTTCATTTGGGTTTTCTTGGAGAGCCGAATTCCCTTTGGTTTCCTTGGTTTTTACCAAGCTGGGACTCCCCAGTTTGGTGCATCAGTTCCGTTGCAAGCTAAAGCAGGGTGTTCCCTTGGGTAGAATGTTCGGGTTTGGGGTGGAGACTGTTGCAGTCTCGGTGGAAGCTCCAAGAGCTGGTTTTCTTTTTGTGTTTATTTGGTGGGAAAACCCGAAAGTAGAGTGGCTGACCTGTTGAAGGAATCGTTTCAGGGTTTGGCCTTTGAGATTGATGTCAGGGGTCTCTTCTCATGGGTCCAGAAGGATCATTGCTTGTCCCCAATTCAAACGACCCCTTTCATGGTTTTGAGGGGAACCTCCAACACGTAAATCTGGCCTATTTCAGAGAAGTACACCACCCTCCAAAGTGATCCTCATCCCTTTTTGTGAACAGGACATTCTTTCATTGAGAGGTTTCCTTCCCCGCTCAAAGGCGTCACGCGTCACGCTCAATCACAACATGGCCAGACATGAAAACAGCCCCCTTCAAGTTTGATTCCTTGAACACATCGGCAACGTTGAGAATCATCCTCAGGAAAGTGGTGTTTTCTTTGGACGATCCTTTTGGGTCCTTCTGCTAAAGATCGCGGCCACCGGCCAAAACCATGTTTTTGCCTTTCCAAGTGTTTTTTCAATTGCGAAGCTTTTTACTGGTTTTCTGGTTCGCCCCTCGCCTTCGGCTGTTTCCCTCGGCCAGGATCACGAGTACCGGATCCGTTGCCTGCAGCCCCCGGAGTTCCAAAACGCCGGGGGCTGAGGGGAGTCAAGCTCTGGGTAGAGCAGAATGGGCCTGAATGTAGCCTGAAGGGATTGAGTTCACAGGCTGGATTTATCAGAATCCTTGCGCTTTCATGTTTTTTTTGTTAGTTAACATTGCGCCGGCGATGTTGCCGTCTTCAACATGCTTCGAGATTTGAATAGTTTGAGAGCGAGTTCCGTGTTAGGAATGAATAGTGAGCCTTCTTTCGTAGGCTTCTTGCGCAATAGGGCATCTGGTGAGTTGCGCAATGTCACAATTGAATTGCAACTCCTTTGTGACGAGCGGATTGCTGGTCACCTGTCTCAGCCGTCACAGACTCAGTTGGCGGCTCGTGTGTGCGTGTGTGCGTGTGTGTGTGCGTGTGTGCGTGTGTGTGGGTGTGCGTGTGCGTGTGCGTGTGCGTGTGCGTGTGCGTGTGCGTGTGCGTGTGCGTGTGCGTGTGCGTGTGCGTGTGCGTGTGCGTGTGCGTGTGCGTGCGTGTGCGTGTGCGTGTGCGTGTGCGTGTGCGTGTGCGTGTGCGTGTGCGTGTGCGTGTGCGTGTGCGTGTGCGTGTGCGTGTGCGTGTGCGTGTGCGTGTGCGTGTGCGTGTGCGTGTGCGTGTGCGTGTGCGTGTGCGTGTGCGTGTGCGTGTGCGTGTGCGTGTGCGTGTGCGTGTGCGTGTGCGTGTGCGTGTGCGTGTGCGTGTGCGTGTGCGTGTGCGTGCGTGCGTGTGCGTGTGCGTGTGTGTGTGTGTGTGTGTGTGTGTGTGTGTGTGTGTGTGTGTGTGTGTGCGTGCGTGCGTGCGTGCGTGTGCGTGCGCGTGCGTGCGTGCGTGCTCGTGCGTGCGTGCGTGCGTGCGTGCGTGCGTGCGTGCGTGCGTGCGTGTGTGCGTGCGTGTGTGTGTGCGTGTGTGTGTGTGTGTGTGTGTGTGTGTGTGTGTGTGTGTGTGTGTGTGTGTGTGTGTGTGTGTGTGTGTGTGTGTGCGTGGGTGCGTGCGTGCCTGCGTGCCTGCGTGCCTGCGTGCCTGCGTGCCTGCGTGCCTGCGTGCCTGCGTGCCTGCGTGCCTGCGTGCCTGCGTGCGTGCGTGCGTGTGTGTGTGTGGGTGCGTGCGTGCGTGCGTGCGTGGGTGGGTGTGTGTGTGTGTGTGTGGGGTGTGTGTGGGGTGTGTGGGTGTGTGGGTGTGTGGGTGTGTGGGTGTGTGGGTGTGTGGGTGTGTGGGTGTGTGGGTGTGTGGGTGTGTGGGTGTGTGGGTGTGTGGGTGTGTGTGTGTGTGTGTGTGGGTGTGTGGGTGTGTGGGTGTGTGGGTGTGTGGGTGTGTGGGTGTGTGGGTGTGTGGGTGTGTGGGTGTGTGGGTGTGTGGGTGTGTGGGTGTGTGGGTGTGTGGGTGTGTGGGTGTGTGGGTGTGTGGGTGTGTGGGTGTGTGGGTGGTGTGTGGGTGTGTGGGTGTGTGGGTGTGTGGGTGTGTGGGTGTGTGGGTGTGTGGGTGTGTGGGTGTGTGGGTGTGTGGTGGTGTGGGTGTGTGTGGGTGTGTGGGTGTGGGTGTGTGTGGGTGTGGGGGTGTGGGGTGTGGGGGTGTGGGGGTGCGGGGCTGTGGCGTGGGGTTGGGAGTGGGGGTGGGGTGCGCTGTGTTTCTTTACACTGTGTACATTTGCCTTGGGGCAAATCCAAAAAGAGGAGTCTTAATTTTTGAGACCGACCCACTGGTTTCGCCACGCTCCTTGTAAGAAGGGAGTGAGACCAATCAGGTCGTGAAGATCAGCGACCTGCAGGCGCTGTTTTTTGTTTTGGAGGGGGGTGGGGCGGGGGTAGGGGGGTTCGGGTGTTTTGATAAAGCTCGGGGGGAAGCTCCCTTAAGGTTCAACAGTACGTTTTTGTTGAGCATATTCAGGTTAGCCCAACATCTCCGAATCACCAACGCAGCCAAAAAATGGGACTGCAGTTCCATGAGCCCGGCGTTCCACAGCTCGGGTAATGGGAACCCAGGCATTTGCGGTACCGGGAACTTTGCGCCGGTGACTTGCGGGACAGTCAGCGCATCAAGTCTGGACAGGTCGTTTTGCGCTGTTGTTCCACATGTCGGCTAATTGAAGCACGTTTGCCCCAAATCCTAACCAAAGTCGAACACTGAAGTGTTTAATTTCCACTTCTGTGCGTGAACACCTGGAACCCTTTATAGGATGTTTTTCACAGTAGGGGTCCCCTAAAACAGTTGGTGTCCTTCCTTTTGATTTCCCTCACCGCTCGCCAGTTGAAACTCCAAGATGGCAAGATGCTGGAGCCGACAAAGGCAGCTGGAAGGGTCAGAGTAGAGACGGGAGTGGCCGGGGTGCACTCTGAAGAGGCTTCTCTCTTGGGTTGCTTGGTCCATTTTCAGCGGGGGATGTTGATGACTAGCTTCTATAGCCTGTACAGGATTCTGAAATGACGTCCAAAATCGACTTGTTCTCCGGCTGAAAGCTTTGAGGTCTTCCAGATGCTTCCGGATCCAGGCATTTCAGTGGTTCTCGGAGGGCTCTGGTCGGAGATATCACCTCTGATTTTGAACAACCCGGGTGCGCCCCCCCGTCCCCTGAATCTGGCCGCATGGCACCAACTACTACCCATCGGTCCAGCTTGATGCGACACCGGCACCGGCATGAATATGAAAAACCGTTTGGACAGGGTTGGGTTTCGACGCTCATGTTGGCCCATGAAAGCATTGAGACTAAAAGGAGGCAACATTTGGCCAATGGTGGCATGGAATCTGCAGCCAAGAGGGCCGTCAACAGGATGCCTGAAACTGGGGTGCAGCGCACAACCGAGCGATGGATCCTGCATGTTTATTTGATTGCAGCTGTTTCTTTCCTTCGGGCTTTCGGGCGCCATCTCCACTCAGCACGCCCAGAAGCACCCCATAGGTCCCTTGCTATCCGCTCGTGTCGCTCGCCGGAAAAAGTTCCGCCAGAGCGACGTAAGAGTCACCGGGCAGTACTGGCCGGAGCCTCGGAACCAGAGCGCGCGCGCTTCTCGCTGGTAAGGATGAATATGGGCGGTGTCTCAAAACAGGGGGCCCCAATAAGTTGTGGTTTCGTTTGGTTTTCCTTCAAAATCGACCTAAAAAAAGGTACCCCAAAAGACCTCTCTCCCTTCACGGCCGTATAATCATCAATGAGGCCGCCTTTAAATGACGATCTGGTGATTTGCAATGATTGTTTCAATGAGCGGGTCTCTAGTTGACCGACTCGACGTATGGCTCTAGTCAGTTTACGATTGCTGAGGTGGGCGGTTGTGTCGAATGAGGCCTCAATCATTTAAGTGTCACGGGCCCCCGGTGCGATACGCTTCACAGCAGTTCCTTGTTTGGATGAAAGAGCTCACTTTGCTGGATCTCCAGCTCTTAGCGCCGCTTTCTCTGGAAAGTTGGAACATCTGTCAGCAGCACGAACTGAGGTACACTCTGCCGGCAGAGGAGACTGGAGCGTATGTCAAGGCGAGCGCAGCGTCAAGTTCAATATTCCTTGCGCCATGTTTCGAGCTACTTTCTGCGTTGACCAGCCGCAACTAGTGGTGTTGCGCCATTTGCATGACATTAAAATTGTTTCGGTTGGTGGGCGCTTTTGGACGCACGTGGGAACGTTGATTGGCCCTCCAAGGTTTATTCATCGCATTCCGCTGAGTTTGGGTGCCGTGCTCCTTCACCTTGCTCCTTTTGGCTGTCAACTGCCAACTGAACCGGTGGTTTGTTTTTGAGGCATTGTTATCATTGAGGGTTGTTGTGGTTGCGGTTGCCATTCTGGTCAAGATCGCAGTCGTAGTGAACTTTTGCCTTGGGATGCATACAGCCATGCGGGTTTCCGGGCTTGTTTGTTTGTTTGCTAGTTTATTATGTGTTTGTTGGTTTGTTCGTTTGTTTATTGTTCCTTGGCTTTCGTTTCGTTTCGCTTGTTTTGTTTCATTTAGTTTTGTTTCGTTTCGTTTCATGTCGTTTCCTGACCCTACAGGTTTAGTTGCTGCCGCTGTTGCCACGGTTTTTGGCTCGCTTTGCTTGCTTTCGGCCCTTGGTGCCCTCCCATAGGCCACATGCGGGCCCTTCGCCACCACAGTCACGGTGAACGGCTTGCCGGTGCCATCAGGCCGTCGCCGAACTGGTTGCATTTCTCTTTGCCCAAGGGCCACCGAATTACAGTCTGGCAGAAGGATGCGGGCGTTGATTTTTTCTTGGCGCGCCTTTAACGCAGCAATTTTAATCTGTGGTGGGGGCCGGGGGCCTCGGGGATAGCCGATTCCACTCTGTTAAATCGTCGCTTTCCCCCAGGCCAAAGCGTCCCATGATTTAGGGTGTGTGCGTGTGTCCTTTTGTGAGGGTACCGTTTTGGGCGTTTTTTAAGCGGGAAACAAAGGATCGTACCCCATCATTTTGCGCTTATTTGTTCTTCATGCGACTGTGTCTGTTTGGTAGCAAGAGGGGGTGCCCTAGACCCTACAGTAGTCTTGACTCATGGCGAAGGTCGCATTGGGTCGCAGTCAGCAGGGTGCTGGACACGAGTCACCATGAGTGAGAATAGACAATTCAAGGGGCAGAAGGCGGTTACTGAGCAAGTCTCAAAATAGGGGAGCCCCTAGAATGACGGTTATCGTTTCCTTTGAGTTTCCCTTGAAAACCATCCAAGCAAGGGTACCCACACAAAAAGGACACACCAGTAAGTAAGGCGAGTGTGTGTGTGTGTGTGTGAGTGTGTGTGTGTGTGTGAGTGAGTGTGTGTGTGTGTGTGAGTGTGTGTGTGTGCGTGTGCGAGTTTGGTTCGGCAGCGACACTGAATGCGGAGCCAACTGTAAAGAATCCAGGATAAGGCCATATTTTGGCTCACGTTTCCAGATTTTCTCCACATTTCAGCCGGCCATTTGCTCATCCGCATTTGTGGCGAACCCGTACGTGTACCTCGGCTGGCGGAGGTTATGGGAAGTAAGTAAAGATGGTCCCTCGCATTGCCAATGGAAGCCCGATTTGCCGTTGTCAATTGCGGGTCTCATGTCGGTGT